TTAGCAATAAGAGAAGAAAAAGAAATTGAAGGCATTAGAATAGGCAAAGAAGAAACAAAGCTATCACTCTTTGCAGATGACATGATGATATACTTAGAGAATCCTAGAGAATCAAGTAAAAAACTACTTGAAAGATAATAAACAACTTTAGCAAAGTTGCAGGCTATAAAATAAACCCACATAAATCATCAGCATTTCTATATATTACCAACAAAGCCCAACAGCAAGAGATAGAAAGAGAAATCCCATTTAAACTTACTGTAGACATTATAAAATATTTAGGAGTCTACCTCCTGAAACAAACCCAGGAACTCTATGAACACAATTACAAAACACTTTTCACACAAATAAAATCAGATCTAAATAATTGGAAAAACATCAGTTGCTCATGGGTAGGCCGAGCTAATATAATAAAAATGACAATCCTACCTAAGCTAATTTACTTATTCAGTGCCATACCAATCAAACTACCAAAAATTATTTTATAGAGTTAGAAAAAATAATAACAAGATTCATTTGGAAAAACAAAAGGTCCAGAATATCAAAGGAACTAATGAAAAGAAATGCAGGGGAAGGTGGCCTAGCAATTCCAGATCTTAAATTGTATTATAAAGCAGCAATCATCAAAACTGCTTGGTACTGGCTAAGAAATAGGGAGGTGGATCAGTGGAATAGGTTAAATATGCAAGACACAGTAGTCAATGACTATAGTAATCTATTATTTGATAAACCCAAAGACCCCAGCTTCTGGATAAGAACCCACTCTTTGAAAAAAACTGCTGGGAAAACTGGAAAAGAGTATGGCAGAAACTAGGCATAGACCCAAATCTCACACCATATACCAAAATAAAGTCAAAATGGGTTCATGACTTAGATATAAAGGCTGATACCATAAGTAAACTGGGAGAACAAGGAATAGTTTACCTATCAGATCTATGGAGAACAGAAGAATTCATGACCAAACAGGAGATAGAGAACATTATGAAAAGCAAAATGGATAATTTTGATTACATTAAATTGAAAAGTTTTTGCACAAACAAAGCCAATGCAACTAAGATTAGAAGGAAGGTAGAAAATTGGGAAAGAATTTTTACAACCAGTCTCTGATAAAGGCCTCATTTCTAAAATATATAGAGAATTAAGACAAATTTATAAGAACACAAGCCATTCCCCAATTGATAAATGGTCAAAGGATATGAACAGACAGTTCTCAGATGAAGAAATTAAAGCTCATATAAATTCGTTATTGATTAGAGAAATGCAAATCAAAACAACTCTGAGGTACCACATCACACCTATCAGATTGGCCAACATGACAAAACAGGAAAATGATAAATGTTGGAGAAGATGTGGGAAAATTAGAACACTAATACATTGTTGGTGGAGTTGTGAAATGATCCAACCATTTTGGAGAACAATTTGGAAATATGCCCAAAGGGCTACAAAAATGTGCATACCCTTTGATCCAGCAATAGCACTTCTAGGGCTATATCCCAAAGAGATCAAACAAATGGGAAAAGGACCCACATGTACAAAAATATTCATAGCAGCTCTTTTTGTGGTGGCAAAGAATTGGAAATTGAGAGGATGCCCATCAATTGGGGAATGGCTGAGCAAGTTGTGGTATATGAATGTAATGGAATACTATTGTGCTATAAGAAATGATGAACAGGCTGACTTCAGAAAAACCTGGAAAGACTTATATTGTCTGATGCTGAGTGAAGTGAGCAGAACCAAGAGGACTTTGTACACAATAACAGCCACGTTATGCAATGACTAATATTGTTAAACTGAACCTTTCTCAGCGTTACAAGGATGTAAGACATCTCCAGAGGCCTTGGGATGGAAAATGCTGTCCACATCCAAAGAAAGAACTATGGAAGTAGAATCGCTATCACTTATTTTTACCTTCTGTTGAGTTTTGTTTCATCTTTCTGATGGTTCCTCCTATTGGTTTTAATTTTTACTTACAGCTTCACTAATGTGAAAATACGTTTAATGGGTATGTAAATGTAAAGCCTATATCAGATTGTGCCATCTTGGGGAAGGTGGGGGGAGGAAGGGAGAAAAATTTTCAACTCAAAAGCATATGGAAGTGATTGTTAATAAATCAAAATAAATCAATAAAATTTTTAAAAGAAAAAAAAGAATGATCTCCAAAAAAAACCACAGTCCCAAAATACTCATGATGAAAAAATGATATCCACCCTCCAGGGAGAGAACTAATGAATTCTGAGTGCATATTAAAGCATAATTTTCTCACTTTTTAAATTTTTCTTGCTTTTTTGAAATACGGTTTATATAGAAATATGTTTTGCATAATTTAACATGTATAACATATATTATTTGCTTTCTCAGTAGGTGAGGGAGGAAGTGGAATAGACAGAATTTAAAACTCAAAATTTTAAAGGAAAAAATGCTAAAAGTAAATAATACATTATAATTTAAAAAATTAAAACCTCTAATTGACTTTATTTTACATCTCAAAATGTTTCAGATTAAGATTCAGAGAACATATTTGATGACAAGCTGGTGTATGTTAAGGAATTATATTTATATTCAAACTCGGGAAATATTTACTTGCTTCCTAGCTTTTCATTGACAATATTTTTTTATAAAAGCCATCATTAAAAGATGACAGTGCACAAATGAACATTTCTTTAATGTGAATCATATAGGTTCTGGAATAGCAATGATTCCATCTTGATCATTCAGCCTTTGTCTGAAGACCTCTAAAGAGAAAAAAAATCCATTACCTCAAAAGGTATTTTATTTCACTTCTGGGTAGCTCTAATTATTAGGCTATTTTTTGTTTTTTTTTTCTTTAAATGAGACATAATTTTTCTCATTGCAACTTCCACTTGTTCCTTGTAGTCTTGCTTTCTGGAGCTGAACAGAATAAATAAATTTAATTCCTCTTCCATATGAAAGTCCTTCAAATACCTGACAAATTAGTAACTACAGAAATTTATTTAACCTAGGCTTCCTCTTTATCAATGATAACAGCTTTGCTCTGGGCTTACATAATCTCCCTATTCTCCCAACCTCCACTGTGTCACCCTACCCCAACATGCATATAACTTTTTATTTTTTATTGTTTCTCTGAAATATACTTCTGAAGCAGTAAACGACTAAAAGGAGTCTCACGTTTTGTCATCAATCAAATCATCTCAAATTGATATATGTAAATTGTTTTAAATGAGTATTTGGGGAGTGGGAAGCTTGATGATTATTGTTTGAAAACTAGATTGATACAGATGTCTCTGAAAACTCAGTCTGAGTGCTTTTCAGAAGAAATTCTGAATTTAGCTACATAGTTAATTCTGAGATTAACTACGTTTTATAATTTCTCGTCTTCTTTTAAAAATCAGTTGTCACTTCAGTAAATGATTTCTGAATTCTGGAAGTTAGAAGTAACTGTTCTTTATCATCGTAATGTTGGAGTTGAACTACATGTTTAGCCATGTTAAATCTTGGATTCTTCCTTGTCATGGTTCAGTGGATTCTTTCTGTTCATATTTAAAAACTTATTTTTCCTAATCCTATGAAATTTTTCTTTGAGAATTTTCTAGGATACAGTTTTAAGAACACAGATTTAGAGTTGCAAGTGATTTCAGATGTCATCTAGTAAAACACCTCATTTTACAGATGATGACACTGATGTCCTGATAGCTAAATGATTTTTCCTAAAGTTATGCAATAAGGTGCAAAACTGCTTTTGGAACTTGGAGCTTCTGACTCCCAATCCAGGGCTCTTTCCATTGTATGAAAGCAATTTTTATTTTCTATATTTTCTGGGATTTCAATAAGGCTGAGATCACACCATCTTGACCTAATCGATCTTCCCAGCTTCTCCCTTGAATCTGCACATGTTCTGGGGGAAAATTTTTTGGGACACCTTGTGTTTTCAGTATCTCAGCATTGTGTGCTTTTCTTCTTTCTACTATATTGTTTGTTGTTAGTTGCTTCTGTGGTGTTTCTTTTTTTAAGACTTTTTTTTACAGGTTCCATCTTGGTAATTTTTGCTTATTTTTTTCTCAATTTTTTTGTATCTTTTCATTTTAAGTTTGAGACATTGTTTCCTTTTACTTTCTTCAAACTCTTATTTTACTTGATTATATATTCATGTAAATTCTTGATTAATTTTAAAAATTCTGTTTATTCATTTGAAGATATCTTGCATTGCTTCTAGTACTTGAGTTGATTCAATTGCTTCATTATATTTTTTAAAATGGAACTGGTGGTTTTTTTTCCTTTGTTCAATTTTTATTTTAGACAGTCCCTACACTTGGGAAGCATTTTTTAAAACCATTTTTCTTCTTAATGTATTTATATGTTGTCTTTTTCAGGAGTAAGTGAGGAATGCCTTTATCCCTTCAACTGTCACACTCAACCATGTTAAGAGCATGTTTAAAAACCATGTTTAAGCATAAAACTATGACTTATAAAATAGCTTCCTAACATCTACCTTTAGAAAAGCTTGTGTTTCATTATTTTTTATAACACTCACCTACATATAGAGGCAGCCAGAACTTCTCTATTCACAAAATAAGTCTAATACCATTACTCTCATAGTACATAGTACTAAATTTTGGATTTTACTTCAAGGAGAAAAAAAGAATGTCTGAAGCAAAGAGAAATCAGAGCTCCAAATTGTAGGAATGCAACTGATGGCAGGTTCAAGAAAAGAGAGGAACGAGTGGTAGGGTAGGTCGTGGGGACATTATAAGCAGAGAAATCTCTATTTAGTTATCAACAAATAAAACCAACTTTCATATATTTGAAGTACATACGATCCATCTCAGAAAGAAAACCTGCTTGTTGATATTTATATATTCTCAAAACAATGGCAGCTCATGACTCAAAAAAACCTTGTTGAAGCAAAACAGGAGAAAATGTCACAGTTTTAAATCTATTCCCTTTTGAGTAAATATATATTATTTTCACAAAGACTCATACACAGAGGAAATAAAACTTGTATATTAGAGACATTTCAGTACCTTAACAGCTTCACCAAGGGTTTGGTTTTTGTCCGCTTCCTCACTTGAGTGCAGTTCTAGTCTATAATTTAACTCCTGAAGCTGTTGTGCCTGTTCATTCAGAAGCATTTGGGCCTGCTGTTCCCGAAGTAATGCATTATTCAGTTCTTCACAGGCACTTTCAAATCTCTCATGGGTGATCAGTTTCTGATAAAAGGGGGGAAAAGTGATTTAGTTATAAAATAACTCTACTATTTATACTATTTATATATTTGACCTTAAGAATTGTATTTGCTAACATGCAAAAGGGTCAGCCAAACATCTGAAAATATATAATGCATGTCAGAAGACCATTTTTCTTTACTTTACAAAGTAAGCCATACATAACTGATTAGTATTAACAACACACCTTGTTCACAATTGATCACAATACATTCAAATAAAAGTAAGGCATTCTTCTCAATTCTACACAAATCAAGATGATTTAAATTAAATATGCAGGTATTAAGAACTTTTAAAAAAGAGTTTATTTCCATTTCAATATATGTATTAAAATGTTACTATAAAATAATATTTTATAACTATTTTGAATAAATAATATTTAAATATTTTAAATATATTTAATAATATTCTAAATAAATGTTTTAAATATTATTTTCAAAGTCTAAGAAGGACACTTTGAAAAGCGCACAGAAGTATCAAAATGATCTATTCTATTAGTGAAGGTCAAGTATGAATGTAATCCAAGGTAATATTCCTGAGTACACTTGTCAAATAAACACAAGCAAAAATTCTGTATTATATGTATGCATGTCTGTTTATATATATGAGTATGTATATAAATAGATATTGACAGATATAGATAAAGATATAGATCAGTTAGCAGCATAGAAAGCTGCCCGAGGAGCTAGGAAGCTCTGAATTCGAGTTATACTTCTAACATTACTGACTGCATGACCTTGAACAAATTATTTGACCTATGAATGCCCCAAGCAACTCTCTAAAGCTGAAAATGGAAAAGAAAGCTTCAAATTATTTTGGTAGAAAGGGTTTCCTTATATAATATATTCCTATATCAGTGAAATCTGTGGTCCAGTTACTATCCTGATCCTCAACCTGATATCTATAAACATATCCAATGTAAATGATATATAATAATATGTTAGTACCAGGATTTCTGTTTTTGCCTTTTAGGGGAGATGGGAGATGGGATGTCCAGACCTGCGATTTTATTGGTATGGGTAATGCATGGTGAGAAACTCCCTCACAAACAAATGCAGAGGGTTGGAAATATTAAATCCGTATCTTTTAATTACCATCTTTTAATTAATACAATAAAAAGTTCATTAACAGAAGACACTGAATAAATGACTAAAATTCAATTTGAGACAAAATAACGTCCCAAAAAAATTGTATTGTGAAAAAACAATTCATAAAACACCTTTTTCAATGAAAGAAGGAAAAAACAGATCAATTAACTGAATTAAAACACAATTTTAAAACCTTAATTAAAAACAAAACAAAAAAAAGAAATTCAGAAAAACATTTATAAAATTGAAAGAAAATAATGAATTTTAAAAGAGGCGGGCTTTATTTTGAAAAAATAATAAAATGGATAAACCATTAGCAAATTGGACTTAAAATAAAAATAATTATCAATATCAAAAGTGAGAAAAAATTAGGACAGGGACATTAATACAATTTTTGTGGAACTATGAACTGGTCTTGCCATTTGGGAAAGTCATTTGGAACTACATGCAAAAGTCATCAAACTATACAATCTTTATTCTTTACCATAAAGAGTGTTAGTCTAAAGAGATCCAAGAAAGAGGAAAAGAACCCACATATTCAAAATATTTATAACAGCTCATTTTGTAGTGGCAAAGAAGTGGACACAAATGAGGTGCCATATCAATTGGGGAATGATAAATTAAGGAATTTCAGCGTAATTAAATATTTATTGTGCTGTAAGAATTGATGAATTGGGCATGCAACTAAAAAAATTTAAAAAGAACAACTTTAGGGGCAGCTAGGTGAAGCAGTGGATAGAGCACTGGCCCTGAAGTCAGGAGGACCTGAGTTCAAATCCAGCCTCAGACCAAACACGTGACACTTACTAGCTGTGTGACCCTGGCCAAGTCATTTAACCCCAATTGCCTAAAAACAAAACAAACAAACAAACAAAAGAACAACTTTAAAATACTCAATTAAACACCAAATTAAAAATCCTAAAACTTAAACGAGAGATTAACAAAATTGAAAGTAAAAAAACATTGACCTAATAAATAAAACTAGGAGCTGGTTGGGGGGGGGGGGGACAAAATAGAAAAACCACTGGTTAATTTAATTTTTAAAAATAAAGAAGAAAACCAGATTATCAGTGCCAAAAATGAAAAGGGTGACTTCATCATCAAGGAAGAGGAAATTAAAACAATTATTAGGAGCCATTTTGCCCAATCAAATGTGAATAAATCTGGCAATCTAAGTGAAATGAATGAATATTTTTTAAAACATTACACTCAGCCCATATCAGTAGAAAATGAAATAGAGTACTTGGATAACCCCATCTTAGAAAAAGAAATTAAATAAGCAGAAAAAATCTCCAGGGATAAATGGATTAACAAGTTAATTCTACCAAACATTCAAAGAACAATTAATTTCAATACTACTATATAAACAATTTGGAAAATGGGCAAAAAAGAATCCTATCAAATTCCTTTCATAACACAAATATGGTGCTGCTACCTAAATCAGAAAGAGAAAAAAAAAGTTATAGACCAATTTCTCTAATGGATATTGATGCAAAAAATTTTAATAAAATACTAGCAAGTAGATTACAGCAAAATATATCGCAAGGATCATATACTATGACCAGGTGGGATTTACACCAGGAATGCAGAGCTGGTTCAATATTAGGGAAACTATCAGCATAATTTGCAAAATGAATAGAAACAATATAATTATCTCAAAAGATGCAGAAAAAGCTTTTGACAAAAATACATCTATTCCTATTAAAAATACTAGAGAGCAAAGGAATAAAGGAAGGATTCCTTAACATGGTAAGTAGTATCTATTTAAAACCATCAGAAAGCATTATCTGAATGAGGATAAGCTAGAAACCTTCCTCAATAAAATCAGCGGTAAAGCAAGAATGCCTATTATCACCACTCTTACTCAATATTGTACCAGAAATGTTAACTATATCAAAAGCAGAAAAAAAAGAAATTGAAGGAATTAGAATAGGCAATGAGGAAACAAAACTAGCACTCTTTACAGATGATATGACAGTTTAATTGCACAATCCTAGAGAATCAAATAAAAAACTATTTGTAATAATTAATAACTTTAGCAAAGCTGCAGGATATAAAATGAACCCACATAAATCATCAGCATTTCTATGTATTACCAGTAGAAAAAGATATAAAGAGAAATTCCATTTAAAATAACTGTAGACAATTTAAAATACTTGGGAGTCTACCTGCCAAGACAAACTTAAGAATTATATAAACACAATTACAAAAAAGTTTCACAAAAACAAAGTCATATCTAAAAATTGGAAATATCAATCACTTATGGGCAGGCTGACCCAATATAATAAAAATGACAATTCCATGTAAATTAATTTATTCAGTGCTATACCAATCAAATTACCTAAAAATCATTTTACAGAGTTAGAAAAAAAATCATCTGGAAGATGAAGGAGATTAAGAATATCAAGGGAATTAATGAAAAAAAATGTGAAGGAAGGTTAGCTGTACTAGATTTCAGATGTTATAAAATGGTAATCATCAAAATAATCTGGTACTGGCTAAGAAAAATTGGTAGATCACTGGATAGATTAGTAGTAAATGACAATAGTAATCTAGTACTTGATAAACCCAAAAACCCAGTCTTTTGGGACAAGAAATTGCTATTTGACAAAAACTGCTGGGAAAACTGGAAAACAATATGGCAGAAACTAGGTACAGACCAACATCTTACAATGTATACTAAGATAAGGCCAAAATGGATACATGATTTAGACATAAAGGATGATACCAATAAGCAAATTGGAGCAGCACGGAATAGTCTGCCTATCAGATCTATGGAAAAGTGAGAAGATTTTATGAACAAAAAAAAGAGACAGAAAACATAATGAGATGTAAAATGGGTAATTTTGGTTATACTGATTTAAAAGATTTTGCACAAACAAAACTAACGCAACCAAGATTAGAGGGGAAGCAGAAAACTGGGGGAAAGGGGAATTTTACAGCAAGTGTCTCTGATAAAGGCCTTACTTCTCAAATATATAGAGAACTGAGTTGAAGTTATAAGAATACAAATCATTCCCCAATTGATAAATAGTGAAAAGCTACAAACAGGCAATTTTCAGAGGAAGAAATTGAAGTTATATATAGTCATATGAAAAAATGCTTTAAATCATTAAGGATTAGAGAAATGCAAATTAAAACAAGTCTGAGGTGCCACATCATATTCATCAGATTGGCTACTATGACAGAAAAGGAAATGACAAATGTTGGAGGGGATGTGGGAAAATTGCACTGTTGGTGGAGTCATAAGCTGATAACCATTCTGGAGAGCAATTTGGAACTATGTCCTTGAAAAGACAACCAAACTGTGCATAATCTTTTCTCCAGCAATACCACTACTAGGTTTGTATTCCAAAAAGATAAAAAGAGGGGGAGTGGGGAATAGAACCTATTTGTACAAAAATATTCATAGTATCTCTTTTTGTGGTGGCAAGGAATTGAAAGTTGAGGGGATGGTCGTTAATTGAGGAATTCGCTAAATAAGCTGTGATATATGATTGTAATGGAATATTACTGTGCTATATAAAATGATGAACAGGATGATTTCATAAAAACCTGGAAAGACAAACTAACGCAACATGAAGTGCACAGAACAGAACAACAATACTGTAAGATTGTCAACTGTGAATGATTTTAGCTATTCTCGGCAATACAATAATCAAAGACAATTTCAAAGGACTCAAGACGAAAAATGTTATCCACACCCAGGGAAAGAACTGATAGAGTTTGAATACAGATTGAAGGATACTATTTTTCATGAGTGTGTGTGTGTGTGTGTGTGTGTGGTTTTGGTCTGTGTCTTTTTTTACAACATAACTAATATGGGAATACGTTTTGCATGATTGCACATGTACAACCTATACCAAATTGCTTACTGTGTCAGGGAGAGGGGAAAGA